AGCTGTTTGAAATAGAAGCTTGCCCACACCCTGATCTGTAGGTCCCAATTGCGCTAAACTTTTTTTGCCTGTCCATTTCGAGTGCTTGCCCACACCCTGATCTGTAGGTCCCAATTGAATACATGCAAGTTGGCAAGGGCAGAGATGTTGGTCTCAATCAGATCTCACCGAGGCAAAATAGCAAATGGTAATGGTGAACAGACGCTGAGCCGTGATGTCTACCGACTTGGACATTGTTTGACTTTTTCATTCAGAATGTTATCCTGCTACTATACTACTATTGGTTTTTTCTTCAGCACAATGGTATAAACTTCTCCCTTGACTTCTCAACTTTCAGAACTATTGATTTAATCTGACCATTGTAACTTTTTCTGCCCCTTCTCAGATAACAGTTTGGACCGTGTATGTATTCCTCTACGGGCGCCTGTATCTTGTCCTCAGTGGCCTCGATGAATGCAGGACACGCCTTCACTGGTGGGAGAACCCATTGTCGCGGGTGCTGTGGCGCCTAGCGAGGATGGCGAGCTCTGGCCACCTGGGTTCGAGCCGGCCAAGCACATGGCGGGTACGCCGACGCAGGATGGCCATTCGGTCAGCCAAGCCACACCCGACCCTTTTATGCCAACGAAGGATGGCCAGCCGGATAGCCAAGCCACGTCCGACCCTAGCGACGCGACGCCCACGCCCCGCGAGGCCACTCGGCGTCTTGCTCGGTTTACTGAGGAGGTGCAGCTCAAAGTGAAGGTCGCCCTTAATCGCCACTTCACCATGGCAGAAGGCGGCAACCAAAAGGCCCTGCCAATCAGGAACAGACGGATTGCAGTGCAGCCGCTGACGAACATACCGACCTCCAAGCGGAGCGAGGTACTCCTCATGTAGAGAATGATCATTGTGTCGCAGGCAACTCCAGGGTCGTCTGCGTCCAAGGAAACATACGACGCCATATTCGCAGGGAACTGGACGCCGAGTCACGTGGCAGCTCTGGACGAGTTGTTTTCAGCGATCAACAGCAAGGCGGGTAGAAGAGCACTCTTCTCATATGGCGGAGGAGGGTCGCGTAACCAGCAGCGGCGATGCCCAACTCGTTAGGTTGCAGCGGTGCTTTTAGTTCAGTTGTATACCATTTATGTAATATCGAAGTTTGTAACAGTCTACTAGGTAGGTCTAATAATAGCTGTGACACCACCTAGCGCGCTCATCAGAAGCGTGTCGTTTGCACGGTTAAACTCTTCTTCTTAATTACAATAATACGCAAATCTTTTGCGTATTTGAGAAAAAAGACGAAGCACTAGCCACTGGAAAGAGGTTTATACACAATGAGCCTCTCCAGGTTGCTCTAGCTTCAGTCTTTTGTGCAGCTTGGGTTCTTGATGGCGCTGCCTATGATGATGGAAATTGGTCAGAGAGAGGATTCAGAACTGCATTGAGTGACTTTGTACTTGTGCAGCTCCAGTTAGCATATGTGTTCTTCACATTCTCTCTTGGGACCAAAACTCACTACTACGGAACCACACTGCTACATGGAAGAGCTGAATACAGGGCGTGGACTCGTGGTGTTCCATGCCAAATTTGCTGAGAACTACCGATTGGTATTCGCGAAGTCATTTTGTGAAGGGCATCGAACTGATGATTTTGCTTATTGTGTATGAAACATTTGGGAAGTCATGCTAGCTATGACATCATCTTGTATGATGCCTGTGGTCGTCCTTCCGAGTCCCAGTGCCCCGTTCGTTTGGCTGATAAGTCATGGTTGAAAGTACTGTTGGCTGATTTATTGTGAAAGAAAAATATCGTTCGTTGGCTGAAAAATGCGGTTTATAAGCAAAGCGAACATGGCGCTAAAATCTAGATTCATATAATACTATGTTATCAGTAGCCGTCAATCTGCTCATCGCTCGTTTAGCAGATGATTAAGTTCAACGAGCGCGCCAAATTGGAGAATCCGTCAGTAAACTCTCCACGCACGTAACGTGATCCTCCATCCAGGTCAACCGCAGAACTCTCCGGAGACGCCGAAACACTTCCTAATTCACCGATCCGACATCGAATCGAGACAACATATTCCTTGGAGTACTGTAGACAATTGAGCAAACGTCAAAACACTTCCTAATTCACCGATACGCATGTGTACCTACCTCCTCGTGACACGTAACACCTCGTTGCTCTTGGGGCCAACAGTCCTCCCGTTTGTCCGTTGCGCCGCCCAGTTTCCAGAGCCGCTGGCTTGCACTCCTCAAACCGTGCACCTGGCACCGCGCTAGGTCGCTGTTGCGCGTGAAACCGTCGAGGCGGCACGCCGGGACGAGGGCCGGGCGAGCCAGTGGTGCCGACGGGACGCACGTCGGCTGGGGACCCCCCATGACAAGTGGTCCGTGCATGCGCGCGCCCACGGCGGGCGACGTGTGAGGGGACGAGTCCCTCTCGCGGAGTCGCGGTCCGTGTCCCAGACAGGTCCGCGCGAGCAAAAGTGTGGCTGGCCCTTCGCTTGCCGTCTCGAGCGGCCTCGGCGCGGTTCGGCTGCGCACGCGGCTACTGGCCCACTAGGCAACCGGCGAGTACAGTAGCCGAGTAGCGGCAGGCTGGCTGCTGGCATTGCGCAGCTGGACAGCGCGTAGACCGGGACGTGTACACCTACTGTACTTGCACTGGCCGGACTGGGCTGACGCCGATCCCTATCTTAAGTACTCGTGTCCTCTCGTCTGCCGTGGCAATTGGGTCAGATCGGATCTGAAACTTTGGTGTTTGTTTCCGCCTACTAAAATTTATTTAGTCCATATTATATTAAATATTTGATACATGAAATATTATATATAGACTAATTATAAAACTAATTACATAAATTGAGACTAATTTACTAGACGAATCTATTAAGCCTAATTAGAATCATATTTAGTCTTTCTAATTAATACCTAAATATCCGATGTGACATCTACTAAACTTTAGTCCCCGGATCAATCACCCTGTTTCGGCCGAGCCTGCTGTATCGATTGATGTTGACGGAACGACGTGTCATTGTCGGCTCTGTTCGCTTGAGCTTATCAGCCATAATCAGCTCTACTTTTCAGCCATGGAAACAATGTTTTTCTCTCACAACAAATCAGCCCTACAAATTAGCCGCAGCAGTAATAAATCCTGCCCAACAAAACCGTCATAAGAGAAGTCAAGTGGTTTGAAGTATGATGTCCATACCAGGAACTCCAGAACCTCGCATGGTCGATCCGTCACCAGGTTACTTTGGTTTTAGAGCGGTTAATATGTGATGGTTGGTTTGAAAAACAGGGTGATCTATCATCTTTTCATTTCTTTCATTTTTTTAAAAAAATGTTTATGGGAGGGGAGTATGATGAGTTTTTCTAGATTGCTAACTACTCCCCCTGTTTAAAATTCTAAATTGTAACTCGTCATGACTTTTTTTTAGATACATAACTTTTATTATATATCTAGATATAATATCTATTTAGATACGTAGCAAAAGCTACGGTACTTAGAAAAAACTACAATGGCTTCGATTTAAAACGGAGGGAGTAATATTCAGTATAAACATAGGGTGATGTAGTGGCTACTTAGATTTATGAGATAAACTCATAGATCATGATGCATCGCCTCATCTCAAATACGAAAAGGTTTATTATTTCACCATTTAGCCAGTAGTAAGGGTGAAGCTGTATTAACAATAGCATTGGTCGATGCAGAAGCTAGGATATTAATATATTCCCTTTTCTAAAAACAATGGCATGGGGGGTTTGCAAATGTACACCCTAAGAAAATGTGAAAACTATGATTATATACTCTCATATGAAATAGGTTTACGCACCCACAAAGTAAACATATCATTCTCTAATTTGTTCTAACTTCGCCACTTGCATATAGTGTGTTGCTAAGCACCTTACAACTTGGCAACTCCAAGAGTCCATGCATTTAGTAGAAATGTACTACTTTATTTACCAAGTACTCTCTCTATCCTAAATGTAAATTGTTTTGTCTTTTCTAGGTACATAGAAAAGCAAAAAAATGACTTATAATTTGTAACGGAGAAAGTATGTTCGAAGGTCACTCTAGAGAATAAGTGGACAAGCTTATTATACGTTTCACGGTAGGACAACTTATGCAAAGATTGACCTCGCAACGAATGGAGTTTGGAATGCAAGAAATATTGTAAGTTTCAAGAAAATTGAATTTGTTTCTTACACATCTTATAAGGAAAATCCACCACCACGTAGAACATCAAATTAGTTTCATAGTTTCATTGAATTATCTATCAAATATATTTTGATAACGCATTTATTTGAACTTGTATGTTACCATACTTTTATACCACAGTTAAAGGTAGAGAAGTACATTATGATTTATAACAAAACTAAAGCGGGAGGTGGATAGGATGATTCTGATTGTACTACCAGCTTTAGCATTGACCCGACCCATGGCCCAAATGAAGTTGGTATGTGCATTCTCCCTGTAGTAGATTCCTGATAAGCAGAGAATTTATGGCCTCTTTGGCATGGCTTATGCCGGCTTTAGTTTTCATCTATTTTGTGTAAATCGAGGCACTGTAGCGTGAAGTCGTTTTGTAAGCCAAGGTTAAAATGAACTAAAAGCTAGGAAAAGCCAGTTTTTTGCTTCACCGGCTTTGGCTTCACCGGTGAAGTCGTTTTGGATGAGCCGTGTCAAAAGAGGCTTTACACGCGGTTGAATCCAGATTCCAGAGTGCACGAAATCGTTCCAACTCCAACGGCCCTTCCCGGTCGCGGCTTCTGAACTGAACACCTGGATGGTAGGCCAGTCAAACTGCATGCCAAACAAAGCGCACACCTGCCCGCGTGGCTTCTTTCCACGATACCCGCCGAGCGCCGCGGGATCGCGACCTTTTTGGCTCAAACCCCATTCCCCTCTATATAGCCGGCTCCACACTGCATGTTGCGCAGTCAAGCTAGTCAACCCGCTCTCGTCTCCCGGGCCCTCGCCGCCTCTGCAGCCCCTACGCCGCCGCGCAGCGCGCAAGGATGGATGCCCGCTCGCCGCCATGCGCCGCTGCTTGCCGCCACGCCTCGCGTCATGCGATCGCCGCGGGGAGCGCGCGCAACGAAAGCAATGATGACTACGGCCAGGGCCAGCAGGTGCACATCAACACGGCCATGATCGTGCTCCTGGCCGCCGTCATCACGGTGTTCGTCTTTATCGCCTTCTTCACCGTCTACCTCCGCCACTGCACCGGCTACGCGGCTAGGTCGGACGACGATGGCCGCGCCATGCCCAATTTCGACGCCTTCATCTCGTGGTCGCGGAGGCAGCGGTGGCCGCGCTGGCTCGACGCCGAGGTGGTCGAGGATTTCCCCACCATGAAGTACGCCAAGGCCAAGGCGATGCGGGTCGACAAGCGGCGGCGCACTCGAAAAGCGCGGGTTTGCCTCGGCGAGTTTGAGGACGAGGAGCGGCTCGAGCTCCCGCCCAAGTGCAGCACGCCTTCCACTGGATCTGCATCGGCGAGTGGCTCGCCACCACGCCACCTACCCCGTCTACCGCTGCAACCTCGACCCTAACAAGCGGATACCGAGAGCGATGAGGAGCCCGCCAGTTTTCCGTCGAGCAGCATCTCCGGTGAGATTTTTCGGGCAAGGACCGCTTCATTGGCCGTGGCAGGATCGTGGTGATCGATGTGATCGCGGAGGAGGAAGAGGTGCGGATGCAGGAGGCGCTGGAGCTACAGCGAGTTAGGGGACCCAGCCGGTGAGCCATGCGGTCACGGTCGGTGAAAGCTCTAGTTTGGTTTTGGTGAATTGATGAAACCCTAAGTGCTAACCTAGTTTATCAAGATGATTATGAGATAGGTAGCACTACTCCAAGTGATGAAGCAATGGCGAAGATCATGATAATGGTGATAGCATGGTGATGATCAAATGCTTGAACTTGAAAAGAAAGAGAGAAAAACAAAAGGCTCAAGGCAAAGGTATAAAATGTAGGAGCCATTTTGTTTTAGTGATCAAGACACTTAGTGAGTGTGATCACATTTAGGATAGATAGATAGCCGTACTATTAAGAGGAGTGTAACTCAGATCGAAATGCGGTTATCAAAGTGCCACTAGATGCTCTAACTCATTGCATATGCATTTAGGATCTAGTGGAATGCTAACACCCTTGAAAATATTTGTGAAAATATGCTAACACATGTGCACAAGGTGTTTGCAGTGGGGTTGAGATGGGTTGGGTCCCTCTCTCCCTCCGCCGAAGCTTGAGGAGGGATTCGCGCTTTTGGAAAAATGAAATGTCTATTTTCTATTGCGCCGGATGCAAAATTCTTGGTGGTTGGCACATTTGAGCAAGGGTGAGGAAGTTAGAGTTGAAATGGAGTTGGTCGAAATAATGCTGGCGTCGGTCCTGTGGACCGGACGTCGAATCCGTAAGCACCGGACGCCGACCGCGTCGCGTCCGGTCAGTTTGACTTCGGACACTGATGGAAGGGTTGAGCACCGGACGCGGTCTGCGCGTCGGTCAAGGTGGACGGACGCGTCCGGTCGAAGAAACATGCCTCGGGAGCTTCTTTGAAACGACCGGACGCCGAGGCTTCAGGCTTTGTCCGGCCGATTCAAGGAGCAAGCGTCCGGTCGGTGATGACCGTTGAGTCTGGACACGTGGTCGACATCGAGATCGGACGCCGAGAGCCGAGCCGTTCGGTCGGCCCGACCGAGCGGCCCGGTCGTAACGCTGCTTTGCCCAAGTGAAGGGGTATAACGGCTCTATTTGATGGGGGCTCTATTTATAGCCCCATGGCGGCTCAAGGGATAACTCTTGCACATTTTCATTGACATAGCAAGCTTGTGAGCCTAGCCAAAGGACTCCCACTCATCTACATCATTGATTAATCATCATAGTGAGATTGGGAGTGATCCAAGTGCATTGCTTGAGTGATTGCATCTAGAGGCACTTGGTGATTGTGTTTCATTCATGGATTTCGCTTGTTACTCTTGGTGGTTGCCGCCACCTAGGGCGGCTTGGAGCAGCAAGGATCGTTGAGTGGAGGAGGTGATTGTCTCCGACTCGATTGTGGTGATTGTGAAGGGTTCTTGACCTTTCTTCCGGCGGAGCGCCAAAAGGTACTCTAGTAAATTGCTTGTGGCTTGTGTGATCCTCATCTTGTGTTGGTTGTGCGACACCCTATTGAGGTTTGGCAGTGATGCCAATTAGCGCGTGAACCTCCAAGTGAGTGAATCGCCACTAACGAGGACTAGCTTGCTTGGGCAAGCAAGTGAACCTCGGTAAAAATCATTGTGTTCATCATTTGATTCCGAGGTGATTGGTCATCATTGTTATTCATCTTCGTGATTGATTGGTTCATTCATCTACACGGCGGTATAACCCTCTTGATCACTCTCTTTACTTTACCGCAAACTAGTTGACAGCTCTTTAGTGTAGCTAGTTGTGAGAGCTTGCATGCTTGGTTGGTGTGGCTCTTTAGTTAGCCTTTGAGAGCACACTAACATAGGGTAGTGTCATTGCTCTTGTGTGAATTGACACTATCTAAACTAGAATTGTGGTAGGTGGCTTGCATTTTTGAGTAGGCTAGCGCAACACTCGCTTCGCCTCATAATTGTCTAACCATTTGGTTAAGTGTTGTTGTAGAAATTTTATTAGGCTATTCACCCCCCTCTAGCCATTAGGACCTTTCATCAGGGCGCAAGCCGGTTCCGACGCAGCTCGCCAGGTCGCACTCCACGGGCCACTCCCTCGCCGTCCGGCTCGACCGCGACCTGGAGCGGTTCAGGCTACGGTTGCCGGAGCACGCGCGCACGAAGATGGTCGTGATAGAACTGATAAGAATAGGTACAAATGTAGCGGGTAATGATTTAATTTAGATAGGAAACTTCTGATATACCTCACCAAAAGGTAGTCGTGGTTATGGCACCGTCGATGAGGTAGCAGCGACGTAGATACGTGGTCTAGTGGCGGCGGCGAAGGCGATGGCGTTTCCGTCGCTTACAGCACGCCCTTCTAGATCGGACTAGGGCTAAGAACTTCGGTGGGGCGCTGGCGGCTGCGGTGAACCTCGTATCTCGAACCCCAGCCCCCACCTCCTATTTATTACGCTGCGCAACGGGAGCCTATCAGCCAGAAGAACAACTGGGCGCTCGCGATCAGGGCATGGATCAAGGGCCCAATTGGTCGTTGGGCCAAGTTGGTGGAGATCAATCCTAACATTCTCCCCATTGATCTCACCTTATGACTTAAACTTAACTTACTTTATCTTTTTCTATTCCATCACAGATGAGTGCGTAGAGCGTGCCTCATCATCATGGTCAGTTGTTATTAGATTTAACAGCTACAATGCACCTCTCTGTTTTGAAACAGATTCTCAACTAGGCCCTTAGTATCCATAAATCATAAGCTTTCCCGTAAACACATGTCAATGTGTGTTCTCTGAACGCATTGGGTGGTTAGCCTTTGGTAAGCGGATCCGTAAGTACTTACTTAGTACTCATATGCTCAATGCTTTCAAAATAATTTTGAATTTTCTTCTTTACAACATATAACTCAATGTCAATGTGTTTGGCAGCACACTTGACCTATTGTCTTAGGAGTTAATTACTTGAAAGTGCAATCAAGCCATAATTATGGATGTTGGTGATAATGACCATGCAATTAGAGAACTAATGAGATTTATCGAGATGACAAGCAAGGAATTTATATTCGAGGATGCTACACGAAATGGAGGAGCCCCCAATTATAAATGGAGATGGCTTCAAATTTAAAGGAGGTTTAAATTCTTTTATATTTTAAATTTGGGTATAGAAAAAGCCGTACTATAAAGGAGGACACAATGCTTAAGCTAATATGTGCTACCAAGTGCTCAAACAACCACATGCATCCTCAAATTCACAGCCAAGACAATCTACACTTCACTATTACCCTTACTGTCTTATGTGGTGCGCATTGTCGCACTTGAAGAGAGGCACTGCCGCAGTGCGACACTAACGCACTTGAGTTGCGGCACAAGGAAGTTAGCGCCCACGCTGACTTCCTCGGATGGCTCGAGACATATTAAAAGGTCTCGCCCGACCCCAAGGTCGCGGGCTCCGTCTCGCCCGACCTCGAAGCCGCGGGCTTCGTCTCGCCCGAACTCAAGGCCGCGGGCTCCATGTCATCCGACCCCTTGGGTGCGGGCTCCGTTTCGCCCGACCCCATGGCCGCGGGTTCCCATCTCGCCCAACCTCAAGGCCGCAGGCTTCGTCTCACCTGACCCCTTGGGTGCGTTGACCGTTGGGGGCTGGGGGTATATATAGCTTTCCCCTTCCTCCATAACAGCTCTCTGCCTCTTCTTCCTCACTTCAGCACGTCCAAAACAGAGCAGGAGCTCTCTCTCTCCCTCCATTGTTGACCTCAAGCCCTCAAGCAAATCCATTGGTTTCCCCATCAATCATTGAGAGAAAAGAATCCAAAACTTGATTAGAGAGCAGCTCCATTGATTCCCCAACTCTAAAGAGCACTTGGTTCACGTTTTGGCCGACAGTTATGTTTGTTACTCTTGCATCTTGGCTCTTAGCCGGCTAGAGCGTCGCCCGTGGAGCTTGCCAACTTGTGTGGTAGCCCCGGGAGGTTTGTAAGCATCTCTTGAAGTTAGTAAACTCACCCCTCATCTTAAAAGTTAAGTCTCTTGATTTGAGAACGAGGAATGGTTGGAAAGCCCTAAGCCTTAGTGGCTAACCACAACAACATGAAGGTAGGCAAGCCTTGGTGGCGAGCGGAACCATGAGATAAATCATTGTGTCACTTGTGATTGATTCACATTACTTGCATGACATATTATGGTTGAGATGATTTCTAGGGTTTCTAGTCAATCTACTTATGTGTGGTGTTACTACCACTTATAGCTCTTGATCAGTGATTGTCATACCTGCAGTAAGCTAGGAAATTTCTCCGATCTAAATTTTCATTCACGGATTTTGAAATGTGATTCGAAGTTATGTCTGCAGGTGCGGTAGTGCCGCTGTTCTGGCCCGACAGAGCCAGTAGTCCGGCAGTGCCACCCTTTAGAGCGGCAATGCCACTGGATGAATTTGATAAAAGTTTGAGTGTTTATTTTGATAGGCATATTCCCCCCCTCTAGGCCAACCAGAGATCTTACAAGTGATATCAGAGTAGGTTACCTCATATACGCTTCATCGCGTGAGGTATGGAGCCCGGAGGAGGAACTTTGTAGCGAAGCGGGTGGATGTCGACACGGATAGCAGCAAGCTGAGCGCGTCGATAGCAAGCAACACCATGCTACCACATCTTGAGGCTACCGATGCCGAAGGAGCTCTCAATGAGAATGAGAGAAGAAGGAAGAAAGGAAGAAAGCTAAAAAGAGAAGCAAGAGAGAAGAAGGAGGAGAAACGATTAGAGGAAAAGAAGCAAAGGAAAGAAGAAAGAAGGCTCAAGAGAGAAGTAAGAAGAAAAAAAGAGAAGCTAGGAAGGAGGAAGAAGAGAAGGCAACAAGTGCATCATCAAGCATATCAAGTAGTTCCGAAGATGGAGATGATGATGAGTCATACCAAGTGTCGAAGGG